GACAGAAAACAGCACGTAAAGAAAGCGGGAGTGAAAGCGTTCTAATGGGCTTCTACAGAACCTGAAGTCCACCATTGATGAAATGCGCGTGGGAATCAATAAAACCAGGAACCACAATCTTTCCCCCAAGATCCAGCTCTTTAGTTCTATAATCTGCCAACTCCTACATCCATTTTTTTTTCCCAACACAACTAGGGTCAGCAACAATTGAAGTGCACAAGCATAAAGTACAACACTGCTTAAACAACATTACAATTTCTACAAATACAAAAGTGAAATACGAGAACCTGGACAAATGAATAATTCCCTACACGAAGAACCCTTCCACTACCCACAGCCATGGAGTCCGCAAACAGGAGAGAGTCATCGCTCGTATATATGACCCCATTTCTCACAATCAAATCTGCTACTGGAGACAATGGGGACCTCCAATTGAGAAAATCTGCAACATTCAGAACATTAACTGGCTGACTTCTCATGAATTATATTAAATGTGTGCGCATACAAGAAAGTGTGATTAGCAGGCGTGAGTGTGACCGACGAATTGAAGCGAGGTAGAAGTTGGGATTGCAATACATTTGGGGTCAAGAAGAGGAAGAGAAAAAATGGCCAGGACGAGGACGATTGAAGCCGACAGAAGCACGCGAATGTTCACAATAGGGAACATGGCAGTTATCTCCGTTCAGTGTTCAGTGTTTCACGTCCCGGTTTCTTTTTCTTTTTTCTTCTCTTCTTTGTTTCCCTCCGATTTTTGTTTTTAACTGTTTCCCTCCCCAATTAAATTGGGTGAGTTTCAACTCAGGCCCAAAATATTATAAAATTTCACTGCAAAATATTGAGCTGAATTAAAATAAAATTATAAAATAAAATGTGAAAAATCAATCATGTGGTTACTGTAATTTTAACTCTATTATAATTTAATTCTTAAATTTTAATTTATTATAATTTAATATTTAAACTTTAATTCGATTGTAGCTCAATCCTTATGCTTTGACTCGTTGTATATTATTTTTTATAGTTTCAACCATTTAAAATATTAGTCCTTCCTATATCTTGAAAATAAAATTCTAAAAATTAAAATTATGTGGACTTTTGGGCATTAATTTTATTTTTTAAAATTACAAGTTTTAATAACTTAAAATTAAAGGAGAATCACATCCAAGGGCCTTTTAAGAAAATTATTTACAAATAAAAACTAATATGAAATAGATTGTTATTAAAATAAAAACATAACTTATTTTTTTCTAATGATACTTGTTATTAGTCTTTATTTATAAATATTTTTCTTGAGGGGTCTCTGAATGTGATTCTCTCTAAAATTAATGCCTAAAATTCCACATAATTTTAATTTTTAGAATTTTATTTTCAAGCTACAAGGACTAATATTTTAAATGGATAAAACTATAGGGATTGAATTGTAGTGAGTCAAAGTTTAGAAATTGAGTTACAATCAAGTCAAAATTTTAAGGATTGAGTTACAATGAGTCAAAATTTAATAACTGAATTATAATTAAATCAAAACTATATGGACCATGATTAATTTTCCTAAATTAAACAGTCAAAATATCATCCTTCAGTATATTGCAAGGTATTCCTTCCATTTAAAAATATAAAACATTTTTTATTGAATTTCACCTTTAATAAAGTAATTACTCATCTTTAAATTAACCTTATATTTTCATATTTACTTCTATTTAATAAAATGTTTTACTCTAAAAAAATAAAATAATATATTTTATAGGGACACTTAAAAAAAAAGATAATGATTATACTTTAAAAGATTCAAAATATTATATATTTTTGAACATGTAACCTCTAAAAAAATGTTTTACATTTTTGAACGGAAGGAGTAATGAATAACATAAGAGAATTAACAAGCAAAGTATTTAACAAATATTGTAATTAATTAACATTAATAATAGAAATCCATGCGGTGATTTAAATCCGTAACTTATAAATCATTATTATAACTTTTAAAATAAACTAAATTGTTTGCTAAAAGCATTAATTTACATGTTAATTTTTTTGGCTACTTGTTATGTCCAATATGTTACAGCTAACATGAAGTTCATATGGCGAGTTGAATTTCTTAATTGTTAAGCTATGATTATAACTTGTAAAGTGATTATATTATTCATTAAAAGCTCTACTTTAATCTTCTTGTTAATTCTCTTATGTTATCTATTTCTTTGCAACATATTAGAATATGAATATTTTAGTCATTTTATTTTATAATTTTATTTCAATTCAGGCCCAACATCCTGCAAAAATTTCAAAATGTTTCAAAATGTTTTGGTCTTGATGTAAAAATATTGACATTCATGATCTTTATATGAACTTCTTCCAAAAATTAATGTTAAAAAAGTTCTCAGGGACTGCAACGAATCTCAACATCTCATTTTTGTAGCCCATAGATATCATTCTCCCTGATAATTAAGTAAACATTTGGCCAGAAAGAGAAAAAGAGAGAGTGAGGGAAGTTGATCAATACTAATTTTCATTTTTCTTTTTGAATAACTTGTTCAAATATTAATTTTAAGTATAATCATATATATATATATATAGCACGAGATTTTTTAATTGGGTAAATGACAAATAAGACCCATCAAAATACTGAAATGCCAATATAGCCAATTTCATAATAGTATCAAATGACTTATTTGACAATAAGTTTTGTTGTGAAATGACCAAACTGGCCCTATGGCATCATAAGATTAATCTCAAATTCTAAAAATTGGAAATAGTGGTTGGAAAAAAACAAAATGAAAGTTTATATATTCCATGTTAAACTGGTTCTCTCATTTTATATAAATGTAATAGGCATGTAAAAATTGCAGATGCCATTGCAATTAAATTATAAAGAGTGAAACAAAAACAACGCATGAAACCTTAATTTTAGTGTGCGTATATGTGTATAATGTTAAATATGATCACTAATTTAAATGGCTCACTAAACAAATAAGAAAATAAATAACAACTTGGAGATGAAAACAATGCAAAGGACGCTTATAAGCAACATGAGTCACTTGTTAAATAAGCACTTTTTTTATTTATAAATAAAACACTTAAGCAAGTCATTTGTGCTTCAAGCAGTAAGCAAGTAAAATAAAAAAGAAGAGAAAATATGTCATGAGGACGTGTGATGAAAGAAGAAGAGAGGAAAGAGAAGGAAGGTAAAAAAGAAGAGCAATGTGAAGAAGGAAGAGATAGCCAAAAAGTTAGTAGTTTAGAGTGTATTCTATTTTGAGTTCATAATAACAAAATTTTAATCATTCAAAGCCTATCTTCTCAATGTCATTTTCTTTTTTAGTGTTTTGGGTGTTTCCATAAAAAGAAAATGAAGACAACACTTAGTTTCATCATCACTTGGGCTTTCATGTGCCTTTCCTGTTTGCTGAGTCAATTGAAAGTTGAAACACAAATTTTGGTGACCTCACAAATTTTGGTGACCTCTCGTTGGTTCATTATACAAGGGCATGCATGTGGTCCCCATCAAGACTAGATAGAGATGCATAGACATAAATTAAAGCCGATTCAAATTGATTACATTAAACCAAACCCCAAGCCAATATGAATAGGTTAAAAATGAATATAAATAAAATTTGATTTGATTTTTTCTTTTGGCAAAACTGATCAGTCTAGTTCGATTCAAAATTTTGTTTCTTAAAATTTGAACTAAACTAAATCAAGCCTTGTTTATATTTATTTTATATATTTTTATAAATTTCTGTAAACCTTTTCTCTTTCCTAAGTTTAATTATTTATAAATCAGTAATAAAAAATATTACAATTAATTAAATGTTGTCTATAATTTTTTTAAAATTAAAATAAGGCATTTTAAAGATAATAATATATTAATATATTAGTTTTTAATAGTTAAATGTCCTAATTAATTATTAAAAATATTCTTTTGTTCTCAAGAATTTTTTTGTTGAAAATAGTAATTAATAATGGTTAAAAATTATATGTACATATATTATGAAAAATATATTAAAAAAAATTCAAACTTGAACCAAACCAATTAGAGAAAAAAAATCAAATAGGTTCCAAACTTTGGTGAACTTATTTGGTTTGGTTTTTCTTCAAAAATGAATTAAACTGAACCTATGAACTTAGATATGCAAATATGAATATCAGATCCCAAAACTGCTGTGAAGGCGCATTGAAGTGTAGTGTAGTGGAGAGAGAACAAAATCAACTCAGACAATACAAATAATCATTTAAAAGCCAAACGTGGATAGACTAGAGTCATCATAAAGTCTCCATTGTAACTTGTAAGGGGAATATTAAGAGCTTAAAGCCTAAACAAGCTGAAGTTAGAGCACCATTTACATGTTAGACAATATCCACGTAGAACAATGTTGAGACAGTAAGCCAAAAGTTTCCTACAAGGGTCAAAAACCCAACCTTAACCCTCTAATTGAAATAAGAAGAAAATAGAAAGAAGAGAAAATAAAGGAGAAAAGTAGAAGAAAAAGACATTTTCCCCCCTAGTTTAAAGTTTTTCCTTTAGTCCATGTTTGATATGAGGAAAAGTATTTTCTAGAAAGAAAATGATAAATGTATTTAGAAAGAAAATGAGATAGGTGCATTTACTCTTTCTTTTCTAGAAAAGACTTCTCTACTTACCAAACATTGCATTAGTTTTCCCCATTTCTAGGGAGAAATTAGAGGGTCAAAAAGGGTAATTTTTTTTTTTAACTTTTCTCCCCTAATTTTCTCTCTCCCATTTTTTTCCCATTCCGAACAAAACCTACAAGAAGAAAAATTTATGGAAGTTTAGACCAAACTACTATTTCTGCCTCAATCATACCTTTCACATGGTAGTAGGTTATATAATCCAATATGTACAGATTGAAGTTGCAGATGAAAGATTATGGGATTTCTTTTTAACCATATGTTGAAGTTGGTGTTCTGTTCCCTCCTTTTTCTGATATATTTACCAATAAATTCTTTAGCAATTTTTGGGTATTTTGTCTTTGTAAGGTTATTCATGCACTTCAGGTACGAAAATCTTGTTTCTGACCATCTTTCAAGACCAAGTAGAAGCACCTGCTATCTTGAAAATTGCTGTGTTTACTAACCTTTCAAAAGTCCAAGTATGATTTTTAGATGAAAGAAGAGAAGAACAAAACAAATGAGGATTGAATATCCTCCTAGAATAGAAACTCTAGCACAAGAAATCAAATGTAAAAGGAAAAGGAAGGTTATGCAACAAGAGACAATCCCTCAAAATCAAATTTTTCCTCAACCACCCTTGAAAAAAAAAAAAAGAACATTTCTACTCTAGTCATGCATTCCAAAATACTGAGTGAACTGAGTATATTGGGGGAAAAAAACTCTACAAAAGCTTTCCACGGCCAAAACTTTCTAATCATATAAGAAGAGAATGCTCTGAATCCCCAACCATTTATGACCTAAAAATCCCAAGAAACTTATTCCAAGAAAACTTCTCCACAACAATGATATGCCAACACAATGCATCAAAACATAAAGTCTTATATGCATGTGTACTTGTACATATATGCTAGAAAAGAAACAACCATAGAAATCATCATTTAGTGGAAATCCTTTCGGTTTAGGCAAGAGTGTTAAATCTATCAAACCTGTGGTATTAATTATAAATTGCAAGTCCAAAAGGTTAAAAAGCAAGGAGAATGAAGAGAAGGATACCATCACATAATCAATCCCTGCAACCATTTTGGCTGCTTTATCAGGATGGTGCTTAAAGACATTCTCAAGTGCAAAAGTTTGGTCCTTAGTTGCCAGAGGACCCCCATCACTGTACCTTCACACAATATTTACATAACAACCACCATGAGAGATTCGTCAAAGGTTTACGTGTTAAAAAGAATTCAAACCAGATAAAAAAAGCTAAAAATTTTGACCATTTTTTTTTACATAAGTGAAATCCATGAAATAAAAAGCTTAAAAGCTTGGTAGAAGAATACAAAAAAAAAAAAAAAACTTTGTTTTCTTAATTTTTCTCAGTTCCTTGAAGTAATCTTCAATTAGAGGGGTAAATTATAGTGGCAGCAGTTGTAATACCGCCTGAGAACTTGTTAATAGCCAAGGACATTCGGTAAAATATATAAAAAGAAAAAAAAAAGCAAGCATGACTGTCAAATGAGTAGACAGCAGTCCCTAAAGTGTAGGTTTATGCCTAATCAACTTCATGTTATGCACCTTGCAAACAATCAAAATAGACAACCAAGAAACAAGCAAAAGGTGTCACAATTAGTATTAGGTTTAAGCTTACAACTTCCCATACCATCATAAAATGTGTGTTGTTATTGCCTTGAGAAACTTACCCAGATTGCTGCATTATCCGTTCAATGTTCTGCATGATTGGTTCAACATCTTTGAGAATATCCTGTTCCTCAGAAGTGAATATATCTAATCTCTGTCTCGTGTTGTATGTAGCCCACCCACATAAGTCCCACGATTTGCCACCGGTGTTCTGGGAGGGCATTTCTTAGTTTTCCTCTCTTCAGCATTGGAACACCAACCTTGGAAACCATCAGAGGGATTTCTCTTGAACAATTCCCTACTTCGCTTTCCTCATTGATCTGTCACTATCATTAGCCTTAGCATTTTGAGAATCCCATCCACTCCAACCTCGGTTTGCTAGGGACTTTGATCTTCCCCAAGAGCGATTGTCCCTCGTGTCAAGTAAAGAGTGGCCATCATTTTTGTCTCCTGCTTCTGGTTACTTTTTGGTCCAAGATGAGCTACCATCTAGCTGATCCTTAGGTTTTGCTAACCACTTGCCAAAGCTACAAGAATCCTCTAGTGGTCTTTCAGACCTGCCCTCGTATGTTTCAAACACAGTATTCATACCAGAGGTATGTTCTGGTGAAAATTCCATATCCACCACCGACAAATTATCAATGTCCTCCCCAAATATTCATCTTTGTTTACTTCCTCTTGTGTAATATTGCTCACCATATGCAAAAAGTTGTACACATCCAAACCCATGTCATTTGATTTTACCTACAAGAGCAAATTCAATGTCAAATGTAAAGTCTAATTAACTTTCAGAGAAGAACTTCATATGATCAAATACCTCTTTTGAATCCCATAGGACTTCAAATCCCGACCCTGTGCCAACAGCCACACGTTTTCCCCAAGAATATGATGCAACAATGCCTGATAACTTATCTGTGTGACATTTCTCAGCAGCCAGTTCAAAACATTTTCTAGGTTTTTGAGCAATCATAGAAGGAAAGACGAAAATAACATCTTCCATTAGACAATAAACCATGCACATAATGCATTTCAGGAATGAGCAAGACTGTGACTTACAAATAGTGTTGCATCAGTGAATGGAACTTGAAGTTTCAGCTGTTTAGCCAGAGCCTTGTAGCCACCTGTGTTGAATCCAGCTAAATTCCCACCCGACGTCATGCTACTTCTAAGAGAATTAGATGCTCCTTGAGAACACCTTTGGCAATCAATTTTGTTGATGATGCAAGACGCTGCACGTAACAACAAAATGTTAATCCTTCCAATGCTATGGAAATAGGAATGCAGTTCATCTGAAATGAGGATCAAGAAGCGTGCCCAAATGAGGATCGGAGGATCCATGTCCCATGGAATACAAGCAGATCTGTAGTGATCATTTGGGAGTTAGGGGAACTAGAAGATCAAGAGAAGAAAATAATATGGGCCCATATGCAGGGTCAGTCAAGACAAGACCACAATTAATCAAACTGAAGATTCATTAGCTTGTGTTATCAATCTCACTTTTAGTAGTGATCCTTATAAAGGATGAATACTGAAAAAAAATCAATCTTTGGAGATTCAGTCAGAACCCAAAAAAAAAAAAAAAACACCAAAGATAGGATATAAATTTTTGGAGATTTAGTTGGAAAAAAAATTATTTTCCATCAAGGACCTTGATTCTTCTTTGAAATTTATAGAATTTGCGGTCTTTAAGTGCAATCAAAGGTTTAGAAGGTCCTCAAATGTCATTTTCCCAATATCTTAAAATAAACTCCAGGAATAGAAATTTAAACTACAATTCACTGTAAACATTTAAACCTATGATTTTCTAACTTAATCAGCATAACCTTAGACACAACAATCCTCCGATAGCAAGCGTCGCCAACATATAGTTAGAGCTAGGAAAAAGAGCAGGGTTTGAAGGCTTTGTTTAAATAAAGGTTTGGGCTTTAAAAATTAAATTTTTTTAAAGTAATCGGGCTTGAGAGCCTGGCTCGGATTCGGGTGGCCCTTTAAGCCTTGATAGGCCCGGTTATTACACACACACACACACAAACATACATATATTTGATTGATAATGACAAAATTTGGTTAATATTTATTGTAGGTGATGAAGAAAAAGTTGTTGAGATAATTGATATTGAATCTCCACCTTCATCTTCAACAAGTGGATCTACATCTGAAGGACCTATTATTTTATTTTTAGATGATGATGGGGAGGATTTAGATTTACATTGATAAAGATTTTAATTTTCATCTTAAATTTAAAATTTAAAATTTTTGTTGAATTTTATGTGAGACTTTCATTTGTTTCATGTTGAATTTTAAAATATTCTATTTAAATTAAAATATTGATTTTTTTTTTTTGGGAAAAAAAGGCTTAAGAGCTTGGCCCTGAACCCTTTAAATAAAGACCAGATCTCAAAATTAGGTCCAATTTTAGGTAACTAGGCTTTAGAGCTTGAGCCCTTAAGGGCTAGGCCCATAAGGATCGGGCTTGCCCTGATTCCCTCCTCTACATATAGTAACATAGACCCAGAAGAAATGCACTTCTATAAAGTGAATGTGCTCAGAAAACACTAAACAAAGCAGTAAGAAATCAACTTTAAGTCTCTGAAGACCTTTGACCACAAAGGAGACAAAAACTGTATTCACATTTAAAGTTCAATGAAGAGGAAAAGCAGCAGCTTAAACAATGGAAACAAGGGTTAATTGGGTGTTGAAACTGAAGGCAGAGAAGACACCATCAATTAAATTATGATCAATAAATACTGTTTTTTATTGACAGAAAAATTAAAAATATACACTTAACATATAATTTACTGGTCATATAAAGATTCTGATAGGATAGAGAAACAAACCTACCTGGATCACTTGATCAAAAGCACATGAAATCCCCACCAATTCCTCAACTTGCTTAATCACACATGGAATCGATGAAGTGGTATCAATTAAATGAAGAACAGGAAGGCATGAATGAAGTACAATCCTCCCTGCATCACCACTGTGCTTTACAGACTTCTTCTCAATAATGATGTTCAATGCCAGTTCACCTTTTGGAGCTTTGCTGGGGTTATTCGCCCACATATTTGAGTCTGGATTAACCCAGATTATGTTTGAAGAGCTAATACGGGCGTCCCCTATTTATTTGACAGAAAATAAAGAGTAATAAGAAATGCATAAACATGCAATACAGACAATTGACAGCAGCAAATTATATTGAGAAGCATGACTATCACATTATTCGATCGACCTCCTATCAAGAACTGAACTGAAAATTATTCCAAGTTTTAAACCATATTGCATTATAAGATGTTCACAACATTGATTCTGATAAGCTTCAGCCAAAAAGAAAACAAAAAAAGGATAACACTATGGATGCTGAAATATCTACTTCACTAAAAAGAACCAACTTGAGAATAAAGCAAGCTCGACAATTCAGTGCCAATTGAACAGCTTACGTTTTACCATACAATCATAGCAGGCCGGTAGCAGACATTCACTAACTATGAATTTTGATTTGAAAATTAGAGCAAAAGATAAATTAAAGAAAATGCCTTTAATTATTGTTTCCAAGAGACCAGGGCAGATAACTTCAGTCAAAATGTATACAGCTTTGCCTAAATTCATAGCATCTCCATTTCGCCAAATGAATGACCCGCGTGGTGTGGAAGACTCACTGCTAAGAAGGAACAACAATACAAAGGGTAGTTTTTCCATTTGTTTTTTTTTTTAATTTTTTTGATAAAAAATCATTTATCAATAAAGAAGCAAAAGAGGAGGTGGTGAAACCCTCCGAAGTATTAAGGTGGCCAGTAAACAAAATTAAAGCCAATAAAAAAAAAAAAAGCAGTATCAGCATGATTGAGATCCCAATCATTCTACTCAACAGAAAATGGCCCAACCCCACCTCCAAAAATAATAAAATAAAATACTTTTTAATGGGAAAACAAATTAATAGAAAGAAAGAAAGGGAACAAGGAAGCGGATAAGAAGTCTCTCTAAAGAGTGAGAAAAAATTGAGATAAATGTAATGTTAATAATACTTTAGTAACAACTCTAGCATTATCGACAAGTTGAGGATCCTACAAATGCGCGCAAGAAACATACTTCAATAAAAAATAAAACAAAATTATGATAGTTCAAAAATGATATTATGATAGTTCAATAAGACTAATTGAAATAGACAAAGTACAATGCAAGAAGAAAATGACATTTACATCATACAGGAACGAAAATTATAAAACATGGTAAGCATATTATCTCCTTTTTATATTTAGGTTAAGTATGAGTAATTAAGAATATAGCAGATACATATCAAATGCATATGAAAGGAACTTAAAATTTACCTGCAAAATAGTTCTATCTTCTTAAAAACATTACCAAGTTTCTTCTTTTTATGCAATGGTTTTAGAGTTTCTTGGCATCTATGGATCACCTCAGCCATATTGATCTCCTCCTCCAACATTATCTGTTTAAGAAAGACATGGTCATAATTTTTTTTTATGTATTCATTTAGTCTTAAGATAATCAACTTCTTTACCACTCATCATTTAAAAAAAAATTTGTGAAGTTTAAACTTAATATATGCCACACAAATTCACACATATACTAGCATTTGGGGGGAAAGAATAAAAATACTGAACAAAATCGAGAAATTAATGCAACTAAAAATGGTTTTCAGCTAGTTTTTCACCTTAAGTATTATAATAATACTAATTAACATTTAACAATCAACGGTAGAAAAAATAAATCCAGACAGTGGTTTGTAGGATTGGGAATCCTCTTAAAACCATAGAAACACGAAGTAGATACAAAGAAAAGCTTTAAATAAATAGATGTACAGCCACAAAGTAAAGCACATGATATTGAAAGAGGGGGAAAACTGTCATGCACTGTCCTAGAGCAATTCTCTTTTCATTAACCTTTCTCCTAATATGAATATTTTTAAACATAGCTGACATGATTTAGGCATTTATCCGCATTAATGTCAGCCCTAGGATGGGAGCAACACATTAACATCCTCAAATTTGAGCCATAAGGAAATTAAAATACCCTATTGAGATAAATATGACCAATAAGGCCTGCCTCAGTTTCAGTGCTCTCTTTGCCAGTTCTCGGACGTTGGTATCTGAAAATAATCAAAACAAAATAATAAAATGAAAACAAGAGAAATCCTTTCAGTAACATCATAAAGACAAATTTATTCAGTAACACTGAATTGTTGAACTGTAAGGACAGTAAAAC